AAATAGCTTTTTTATTCTATATTAAGGCTATAACTAGAATTACTGATCTTAGCTTACATGTAAATTCGGCTAGGTGTATTAATCACCCGTTTGCACACCGCCTTCCTCTTGTGATTGCAACACTAGTCGGTCTGGACTCTGCTCCCAAAAAGGAAGTGTGTGTACTTGAAGGTTCAGCTTCCGAGCGAAAGACCTATTTAGAGTAAATTCGTGGCAGTCCTGTTGGCGAGAAGATCGATATATATTTTGCTCAGACCCGAGCTCACAGTCGAGTGCAACATCGTATATATTTGAAACACCCAGACCTCGCAAAATGAGGCTGCTTCAACATGGTACAACGAATGCTGTGGCACATACGAGCCTGCCAGCTGCGTCTCATCGCGCAGGAAATGGGTATTCGAGCCACCAAAGGCGACAGAAGACTCAGACAAATGCGATCGGATGAGGGCAAGGTTGCGTGCGACGTGGCGCTCGACGTGGCTCTCGACGTGGCTCTCCAGGTGACGCAAGTCCCAGCCGCACAGCAGTAGTGACTTTTCCCTTGCAGTTTCATGAGCCGACGAGTTTCTATTCAGACTGTCACCACCAGCGAGCTGTCTAGAGCTGGCCCAACAACAGGCAACCGCCACCAGGACTGGCAGCAGAACTTTCATCATCGTCTGACCAAACGCGAAAGAAACCACAACCGTGCAGTCCAGTGCGGCGGAAAGAGGATTCGTAATGAAATCGATTGTTTGACGCCAGCTAAATTCGCAATAATAAATTCACATGTGGCCTTCCTTTGTGCCAGATCTCGCGTCTGATATGGTATTACATGCTTCTCCTTCCCTCAAAGGCGCCGATGCTGTCAATGATGATTGCATTGTCCAACGTCGCCCGGCTAAATGTACAATGCGTAGCTTTTTCTGCGTTTCGTGTCTGCACCGCCCTTCTCACTATGCCATGCCTTCATGTCGATTTGGCTTTAGCGCCAGTGACAGGCGTTTTTGTCGAATTGACCTCTAGAAAGTGGTATACAATGATGAGAAGCATGGCGGCAGATCCAAGGAAGATTGCAAGTGTGTAGAGATCGTTATCGGAAATCATCCTGGCGGTCGTTTGTGGGCGCAACTGTCTCAAGGAGGATCGTGAAATGGGAGAACGTGCAATCTGCACAGAATTAGTAATCGCGTCGAGCCATAGGCTTAGTTTTGCCCTGATCAGGGTGCTCACAGGATCAACGACAATAATGTAGTGTATGGTGTGCTCGCGCAAGTATAACCCAGCATTGAAGTTGGGAACTGGTATACGTAGCTTCGTGGAGCTCTGGCAGGGGACTGCTGACTTGCTGGCGTGGGTCGCGACAAGGCATGAGCTGGCTGTCCAATCGCCGGCGCGGCGCGGTCTCTGCTGCGCCAGCCAAAAAGTTGCCTGCCCAAAAATGAGGGCCATGCACGTGATCTCAGTGACCTCATCCACCCACGGCATACTCCCCACTAAAGAGTCGAAACATCTTTTACAAGATTTACGACGAAAAGCCCTTTCAGGCCAACGACGAGGGCAGAAGAGGTCGGGATAGCCATTTTCCGACATTGGATAGCGAGGAGCAACTGTCACCAATTCGGAAGAGCAGTATAACCTCGACTTTCAACGCGCCTGTATATATTTTCGCCTAACCCCCACCACCCGCCACTACCTTCGCCAGCGAGCCGTCATCGCCCAGCATGGCCAAGAAGGAGAAGCAACCGGCCGCGGCCAAGAACAAGGCCTCGGCCGCCAAGGTTGTGGAGGACCGTACCTTTGGCATGAAGAATAAAAAGGGCGCCTCGGCGCAAAAACAAATTGCGCAGATGACGAGCAATCTCAAAGGCAGCGGCTCGGCCGAACAGAAGAAGAAGGAAGCCGAAAAGGCACAGCGCGAGCGCGAGAAGAAGGCCGCCGAGGATGCCAAGAAGGAAGCCGCTCTGCTTCTCGGCCGCCCCGCGCAGGTGCAAAAGATTCCGTTTGGTGTCGACCCCAAAACGGTGGTCTGCATCTTTTGGAAAAAGGGCGACTGTGAAAAGGGAAAGAAATGCAAGTTTGCGCACGATCTGTCGGTGGAGCGCAAGACGGAAAAGAGAAACTTGTACACGGACGAGCGAAAAGACGAGGAGGAAAAGAAGAAGCAGGAGACATCGGCGGACTGGGACGAGGAGAAGCTACGCTCCGTCGTTCTGTCTAAAAAGGGCAATCAAAAGAGTACTACAGACAAAGTGTGCAAGTTCTTTGTCTCTGCTATCGAAGACGGCAAATATGGTTGGTTCTGGATTTGCCCCAACGGTGGCGATAAATGCATGTACAAGCATGCTCTACCACCTGGGTACGTTGCTTTTCAGCTTTTCAGCAGCGTTGCTTTGCTAACCAACCTTGTAGCTTCGTCCTTAAGACCAAGGAACAGCGAGCCGCCGAGAAGGCCTTGCTGGACAAGTCCCCGTTGAAGACCCTCACCCTCGAAGACTTTCTCGAGTCTGAACGCCACAAGCTCACCGGCACCCTCACACCCGTCACACCGGAAACCTTTGCCAAGTGGAAACAGGATCGGATGGATAAAAAGGCCGCCGAGGAGCAGCTTCGCAAGGCCAAGGACAATACCGGCAGAGCCCTCTTCGAGAGTGGCAAGTGGACCGGCGAGGACGAGTCCGAGGACGAAGACGACGATATTTTCAATCTGCAAAAGCTCCGCCGCGAGACGGAGGCCATCCAGTCGAGAAGGGAGGAGGAGCGTTTGGCCCAGCAACACGGGTACGAGCTGCCCCCCGTGGCGGGCCAAGCCAGCGAGGATGTCGCGGGTGAGGACGCTGTCGAGGACGCTGCCGAGGGCGCGGCCGAGGCGACGAATGGTGAGGCGGCTGCGTCATGAGCGGCTCGTGCCGCGCCGTACACAGCCACGACAAGAGCCGAGCCAACCTCCCTCGCGAGGAGGATATTGTGCAGACGTGCTGCGTAAGGGAGCTTTTCGAGGTCATTGCTATACCCGGCATTTCTCCACAGCAGCTCGCGGCAGTAGCGGACAAACGAAGCCGGACTCGACCACCCTGAGTCAGGCGTATGCTGATCTTGTAAATTACGCCAGGGTATGATAACAGGTGGGGAGACAAAGAATCCAAGCTCTCGAACACTGCTCAAATTGCAAGGCGTTGGAGTCGTACAAAGAAGTAAAAAAGAAATTATCCTTGGAAGGAACAAGGAGCATTGCATACATCATGGGGAAGGGCTGGTATCTGCTGGCATCCATACATGTGGAGTTTTCATATTCATCCAACAAGATTTGAATTTCCAATGATGCACTGCATTGATTATATAGCCAACTTACGGTTCATACGTGTGTGAGCCTGTTGTGATGAAGGCGAACGGGTTTCGACAAGTTAAGCTCTGATGCCCGTATAGATCGAAAAGGGGCCTTTTCGGTTTTCGTAATGTCAGAGTTCACCGGATCCGCTTGAGCGGCCACTGGCCTCTTTACATGGTGACCGTTTTCTTTCAGACTTGAGCTCCTCCGAATCGCTCGTTCGCCCCGAGTTCGCTGGCAGGACCGTGTCGCAGAAGTGGCGCAGCGGCACCCCGGCCTCGAACAGAGCATTAATCTCCTCGAGCGTGCGGCCTTTCATCTCGGGCATGCAGAGGTAGGCAACGACAGTTATGGCAAAGCACAGCGAGCCGTACACAAAGCCGACCTTGCCGCCGAGCCCCGCGTATCCCGGATTGATGAGGTACGGCATGGTAAACGACGTCAAGAAAGTGATGACGATTGATATGCTGCAGGCGAGCAGACTCGTCTTTTCGCGGACGCGAGTGTGAGCGACCTCGCCAACAATAATGTATGATCTGTTTCTGGTCAGCCCGCCTTATTCCCCTCCTTTCTCTTTGTTTGTCAAAGGTGGCGCTGGTAGCTCATGAGACAGGTGCATTGTTGTTTCATTTCTTTGTTCCCCGACCCTTTTTTTTCCTCCCCTTTGTTGGCGACGAAATGATCGTCGCAGCAGCGAGAGCCGGTAAGAGCGGATGCCGCCGGGAAGAGGGGCGCACTTACACAGGAGCCCAGGACATGTGGTACGCCATACTGAAGAGGGTAATGGCCGCTACCAGCATGTTTCTAGTGTCGTGGGAGGGATGGTGGACGGTGGAGACAATCCCGACTATGTATAAAAATGCACCCATGAGGAAGCCTCCAATCAATAAGATGGGTCTGTGATCGAGCGCCCAGAATGGCTTGGTGTAAGCAACATGACCGGACGATTCATCAACTCCACATACCTGCGACCAATTCCATCTACCAAAGACCAAGCAATTACATTACCACCCATGCCAGCGACGTTGGAAAGCATGGTAAAAAGCAGCGCCTGGGAGGCGAAACCGTTACGCTGGTAGAACACGGCCGCATACTGGCTCACAAACGCCTGGCCCGTAATCTGCTGGCCCACCATGGCCATGACAGCAATAAAGGTGCGAATACGGTTCTTGCCCTCAAACATCTCCCGCCAGGGTCCCTTTTGCGTGTCCGCCAAGTTCTCACGAAGTGTCTGCAGGGACTCCCTCAGGTCGCCCTCCGATAGACGGCCCTTGTGCAGGGCGCGTAGCGACTCCTTGGCGTCGCCCTCGCGATTCCGGGCCAGCAGCCAGCGCGGAGACTCAGGGATCAGTGGCCAGAGCGCCAGCAGGAGGGCGGGGGTCACCAGCTGCAGCCCCACGGGAATGCGCCACGAGGCGTCCGAAGGGATCGATTTGGTGCCCAGATTGATGAGTGAGGAGACGAGCTGGCCCAACACAATCATCATCTGCATCATCGACGTCGTGAGCCCTCGCAGCTGCGGCGGCGTGCACTCGGCCTGGTAGACGGGCACCACGATGATGCAGAACCCCGTCATGGCAAAGTTGACTATACGGCCAATGGTGAACTGCACCGTCGTCGTCGCACTCGTCTGCAGTGTGACACCGACGACGGATATGCATGCCAGTCCGGCCAGGGCGGTTCGGCGACCCCAACGCTCACAGATGGGACCGCAAACCAGGGCACCGATGAGCTTGCCAATGAAGGGCGTGGCCGTCATCACAGATGATAGGTAGCTCGATAGAAAGTAAAGGCCCGTTTTCGAGTCTAGTTGGCCAAATTTTTTGGCGAAATCTGCAGTATCCAGAAAAATTAGCAACGCTGACCTAGTCTTGCAGCTATTAAGTTATTAAGTGGGTGTTGTCAGTCCCCCTTCCCTTGGCATCTTGACGAGAGAGTCTCGGCCCATCACGCAATGCTGAATTGATAGGGTGGTGTGGGCAGCAACATAGTTATATGTATGGGCGTAGATGGCTGCCGTGACCACTTGTAGCGGGCGCTTCTGGTGTGGCATCCTGCAGATGGATTCGATGCAAGGAGGGGACGGGTGAGAACCCGTCGCAACGATGGGACAGAAAGGCAGACCAACTAGTCTTCTGTCTTGTGGGATAAAAGAGCAAGAAGAAACGCACAGGATACAGAGAAGCACAGATCAGAAAAGTCGGACTTACGCTGCATTGCCTGCACACCTGCGAAATTCCCGACATCAAAGCCAAAATTGAAGCCACACAAGGCAGTGTAACTACGGACCACATGTTAGTAAGAACATCGTATGTTTCTGTATATTTTGCGTTCCAGTTTCCAGTTAATGATTGCTTCGAGCCTCTCTCATCTCTGATGCTTCTATTCGGCTAAATAGTTGAATCTCGCTCCCAGTTGCCATCTTCAACATGCAGGCATAGGGTTTCAGAGAGACAAGGGGAACGGTAAGAGATTTCCCGAGAGATGGCGAAACGAAACAGAGAGCTCAGAGGAAAAGATGTGGGATCCAGAGCTGACAGCGAAAGAAGCGGAACCACGTCCCATGCCACGTACAAGGCAACAAATAGAATCATAGGCGTAGCTAGCCGAAGACGCTCGATAAAGGAAAGCTTCTGCATGGGGTGAGCATTGTTGGCTCTCATCGTGATGGCCTCCATCGTCGGCGATTTTTTGAAGCCGTGTTTTCAAGTCACCGTGGAGCTGGGGAGAGGTGGGTGTTGGCGTGCAATCTGGCGTGTCGTACGAAGATCTGTGCAGCCAGCCAGTCTAAATGTCAAAAACAAGTGCACGACAGGAACGAAAATCGAGGTTCCGGAGAGGCGCTGCGATGCAGCCCTTTTGACCACTTCCGTTTGCCTGTCAACTGTTTGCTTTTCAAGACATTGCCTGACTGTGGCTGGTCATGAAGAATCCTTGCTGCAAATTTGGGCTGGAAAGGGATATCCAGCCCGGGGTAATATGCAAACGATTCTCTACGCAGACAAACATGCCATCAAGCATGACCTCTCTGCCATCCGGAGTACTTCGTAGTAAATTCAGTGTCCACGGACGCTCTGGACCGGACTGAACCCTGGTCTGATTCAGTTCCCGAGACACAAGACATTCTGCAGGCTACAGCAGGGTAGTGGGGTATCATAACGTTTTATTTCTGAGATGCCGCCATACAAGTATTGATCCGAAGGCTGCCGACGTATTACTTGTGTTTATTTCTGTCGGCATTTGGACGAGTGGCTGCTATAGTACCAACCACAACCGAGGCAGGACTCATTCGAGGTCAATCAAGCCTCTGGCGGTGTTTCCGTAATTGCAGAGTTAATCGGTGCCCCACGTAGAGAATGCGGGTCGAAGTACTAGTAATTCATGGTTTTCTCGCGCCGGGTCTGTTACAGTTCCAATGCGCAGATGACATGTTAGTTCTTGTTTTCAAAGTTAAACATCTCACTGGCACTTTACTCAACAGTCGAGTCGAGCGCTGAAAAAAAATAAATAAGTTGTCAATGGGGAGGGCGGTAAGGTGTGGGCGCCGCCGTCGTCGAAATCGCCATATTGGTTGGGGGGCACAACCAGAACCGGGTCGTTGCAGCCGGCAGCGCCCTCCAACTCCGCCTTGTGGCTCGTACAGAGTAGCTGATATAACTGAATCAAAAATGTCTGGGGCGAAAACTGCATCATTGTGCTGGATGCCGCAAGGCCAAGGCTGGTGCAGCTGGCCCTGGTTCCCCGGTGCCGGCTGCGCAGATGCACGTCAAGTCAAAGACTTCATTCAACGCAAGCCTGCTCGCTGTGTCAAAAGATATCCTGTTTGACTGCCCAACTTTATAAGCTCGTTTACTGATCCCAGTCATTCGCTTCACTAGTTAGCTCTTGCGTGCCTTGCCAAGTCGCCGCTTCCACGCAAACATATTTTCTCCGAGCGCTATGCAACGCTCATGTGCGTGACGCCCGCCATGCCGACTGCACTTCCGGATTGGTCAGTCTGCAAGCCCGATGCAAGCCTCATTTACATGGCGCACCCATGTCCCACTGGCCGGTTTCTGGTCCAGTGGCTCCCTTCCAGCCCATACAGCGGGCGCTATACTTGAAGCTCCGTCCTGGTTTTCTTTCGCGGCCGATGTCCGTACTGAAGAGTGTAGTTTCATTCTGGTGCCGGTCGCACCAGATAAGAGAAATTTGTTGGCCCCATCCCAGTACTTGGCCGTGAGTCTATGGCTGTAGCTTCTGCAAGAGCCAGAACGTGAAAAGGAACGCGCCAAGTCCTGCCGAAGTCCGCACTCAAATCCGCATTTGAATACTTTGCAGACCTCGTGGCCATGCAGACGAGTACAGCCTTGCTCGTGCGAGTTCCTATGCTAGTCTCTGTTCAGCTAATTCAGGCAAGGGTTGGCTACCTCTTCTTGTGATAAAGAGGGGAAATAGAGGTCAACTGGCGCTGGTTGGTGGTGTGTGAGTCTGGGAGTTCGTAGATGACCGTACCTCTTGTAAATTGTACTTAAACGTCGAGACTACTCCTTCCTGCCCAGATTTGTTCGAAAGGCTTCCATTGCCTGCTTTCACTGAGCTTGACCTCGTTGTAGACGTCTCTCTCGCAAGAAATGGCGCGGCCGAACTTTCTGATCATTGTTGCCGACGACTTAGGCTTCAGCGACTGTGGCTGCTTCGGATCCGAGATTCAAACACCCAGAATCGACGAAATTGCTCAGGAACAGAATGCACTGCGTTTCACAAACTTTCATGTGGCGGCAGCGTGCTCGCCAACTCGGTCAATGCTGATGACAGGAACCGACCATCACCTTGCTGGCCTCGGAGAGCTTGCCGAGTTTACCCGTAGCTCTGTCGCTCATCAGGGTCAGCCTGGCCATGAAGGATACCTGAATGATCGCGTTGTTGCTCTTCCAGAGCTCCTGCAGGACGGCGGTTATTACACTATGATGGCTGGGAAATGGCATCTGGGGTTAAAGCCTCAACACTATCCCATTCATCGCGGCTTTCACAGGTCCTTTGCCCTTTTGCCCGGTTGTGCCAACCACTATGGTATTGAAGCCCCAAAATGGCATCCAGAAAAGCAAAATGTGTACTAACAACGTCGTGATTTCAGGGTATGAGCCACAGTATGAAGATCAGGACCACGCAGATCGTTTTTTCGAAACGGCCACTCGAGCTTTACACGTCGAGGGTAGTGAGGTAGCAGAGCTTCCGGAACAGTTCTATTCCTCGGACGCGTATGCCTCCAAGCTCATAGAATACCTTTCTGAGCGAGACGATAATGATGCTAAGAAGCCATTCTTTGCCTATCTTCCATTCTCCGCCCCTCACTGGCCACTACAGGCCCCGAAGGAGGTGGCAGATAAATACAAAGGTATGATTCCCTTGTCCAGTCGTTTGTTGTTGTTTTGATTAGTTATGATTGATTAGTTTCCTGAAGGCATGTATGAGAATGGGCCACAGGTTCTCAAATCGGAACGTGTTGATCGTCTGAAGAAGCTTGGTCTTGTTGACCAGGACATTATTTCGCATCCAATCGTACGTGTCGGTGAGCAAGAGTCTCAGCAATGGGAGGATTTGCCACAAGTGACAAGGGAAAGCTCTTCGAGAGCTATGGAAGTATACTCGGGCATGGTAGATCGCATGGATTGGAATATTGGTCGAGTTATCGACCATCTTCGTAAGACGGGCGAATATGATAACACCATGATTCTGTTCATGTCGGACAACGGAGCTGAAGGGGCTTCCTATGAAGCACAGCCGATTCTGGGAGACAAGGTGGCTGCCCACATTGCCAAATACTATAACAACTCTCTAGATAATATTGGTCGAGGCGATTCGTTTGTATGGTACGGAGCGCTGTGGGCGCAAGCGGCGACGGCGCCATCCAGGCTGTTCAAGATGCATTCAACTGAAGGCGGGTGCCGCGTGCCGCTCGTTGTCAAGCCACCAAAGAGCAAAAACGTCTCAGATGCGCGCATTACCAAGGCGTACTGCACAGTCATGGATATCGTGCCGACTGTTCTGGAAATGGCTGGTTTAAGTCACCCCGGCACATATTACAGGGGCCGAGAAATTGCTGGTCTGCGGGGAAAAAGCTGGTATCCTTATTTGCGGTCTCTGCATGCAGCGGAAGGTGAGAAGAAGCGCTGTAAAGATGAGGAGTTTGACATCCATGACGATACATATGTGACGGGCTTCGAAATTGCTGGCTCGGGAGCCCTGAGACAAGGTCACTGGAAGTTGGTATTTGTGCCTGCACCACGAGGGCCCCAGGAGTGGGAGCTGTTCCATATGAAGAAAGATCCTGGAGAGACAAAGAACCTTCGTTACGCAGAGCCGGCTAAGTTTGCCGAGCTGATGCGCCTGTGGGAGGAGTACAAGGCGGAGGTGGGATGCATCGGAGTGGCAGGCGAGTTCCCCGAGGCGGTACAGGGACAGCGTGCGTCGCTTAACGACGAGTTCGCGGATCCATATAGCTGGATCAAGTTCATCGGCCGGCCGAGTCTTGTGCCGGGTCATTTGGAGCATATTCGAGTCGTGATGGACCCAACAGTGAGGAGCAGAGTGGCGACTTAGTGATGGAGTTGGTCGTTTCGAATGCGCAAACAGGTGATGAATGCTGTATTTAGTTTACTGATCATGATGACTGGCGGCTGAGAATGGCTAATTTTGCGTCTTGCACGGCTGCTGTAAAGTGTGGTTGTTGTCTTTGTTTGAACGTCATGAGGCTAAATGTGTATATAAGTACCCTGTAAAAGGGCACGTTGGCAGACGGCTGGCAGACAGCTGCCAATACGCTAATATGTAGCCCCCACAATAGTCTGGCGCTTCGGCTCGTCGCTTTGAGGTCATAGCAGCGTGAGTGCTTGAGTGCCTATTTACAGGTGATTCCGAGCAATGTGTGGGAATTTGATGGTGATTTGCTCTGGCATGCTGGCTGCATCTACCTAGGGATGCTCACTCGTGGCGTGTCTCCTTCATTTGCCACTCCTCTCTCAATTGAGTGCTAGGACGGCTCCCTCATTACCGTCATTAGCACAACACATCCACACTTGCAGCATCTGCAGCACCTGCAGCAGTACCTGCCAGACTACCGAGCTCTGCCAGCTGCCAGCCCCATCTCCACCTTTTCGATCCCCTCATCTGTAAAGCTGCGTTCAAGATAGCGTCTGCTGCCCAAACAGTTAAATCATCCATCTTTCATCCCTTTCATCGAATTTCTCACTCGTGTCAGGCATCTTGGTTGGTCTGCGCTAAATCTCGGAACTTGCTGTGCTCTCCCATCTTGGTCAGGCCTGTCGGCCGGCCGAATCGCCTGTGGGCCTCTTCGCAGCCCCCGCCCCGCCATCGGGCTCATCGTCGAGTCAAGCAAAGCTGTTCCGTCAACCTACTATCGCCCTGTTCAATCAATCTCATCTAGTCCACCGCACCCCACGTTTCATTTCGAAACCTCTCGTCTCTCCCAGAAACTCTGAATAATAGCCGCTCCCTACGGGCCTCTCTCCGTACCGCCAGCGCGTCCGGTGTCGTAATTGGTCTCAATCCGAAAAACGCAAGTGGCGCCTTCTTTCTCAACCTTCCACCCTTTCCCACGAGCTTCAATTTATTGATGCACACGGCGCTTCTGGCGATTGGCCACGCTGCGATCACCGCTCCAGACTCTGGCCTCGAATAATCGGGGCCATAGCCTGAAGACGTCTGTGACCGGCCGCTGCCACCTCGCCAGAGGCAATGACCCTTGACGCCAGCGCAAGCGAAAGCTCAGCCAACTCGCAACATGGGCCCGCTGCTGCCGCTCGTCCTTCCATCGCAACTACAATGACAAGTGACTCGTCGCCACAGGCAAATCAAAATGCCACGCCCGCCACCCGCGAGAAGCCTCGCCAATCTCTTTCCAAACGCTACCGCACCGAAATTGCGGCCAGCAGCTCCAGCGTCTTTTCCACCCTCGTCGCATTCCCTCTCGACAGCGTCAAGACTCGCATGCAGACGTATCAGTACCGCGGTTTTCTCGATTGCGTCAAGCAGACATACACAAAAGAATCCTTGGGGGGCTTTTTCCGAGGTAGGTTTCTTGGTTTTGTTGCCGCTGGTGTTGTAAAGTTCACTCGTGGCAAATCTGACTGCAGACGCCAATATGCTAACACCTACTACAATACAGGTGTAACCGCGCCAATGGCCAGTATTACTCTCGTCCGAACCGTCTCCTTCTCAATATACCAACGAGCGAAATATGTTTATGCTGGGTGGGTAAAACAGAACACTGGTTTCGACATCTTGCGCCACGTCAATATGCCAGGCAATTACCCAAACATGTACTCAATTGCCTGCTTTGGTGCGGCTGGCGCAACGGCTGGAGCAGTTATACCCATACTAGCCTGTCCATTCGAGTTGAGCAAACTAAGCTCGCAAGTGTCTGTCTTGTTAGCAGAACGTGGCGGCGCCAAGAAGAAAAGCGCCACCATCGCTCAGAGCTACCAGAATAAAGGCACCATGAGGACTATGGCCACCATTATAAAACATCGAGGCATATTGGGTCTCTATACTGGCTTTCGATTACATCAATGCAAGTCAACTCGACCGGCCATTGCTTGACACCGCTAACATTGTTCAGTGAGGGACACCGTTGGAACAGGTATATACTTTATGGTATATGAAAGTGGAAAGCAGCTTGGAACCACATTTGCCGGGGACAGCAGCAATAAGCTGGCTGTGGTGGCAGCAGGTGGCTCGTGTGGTCTTGTTTCTTGGGCCATTATATGTAAGCTGAAGTCTTGTGGCCGATTGATGACGGATATGATGGAGGCTAACTCTCAAGGCAGATCCGATTGACTCGGCCAAGAGCATTTATCAGCGCAACTCACTTCTCTATGCACGGGGTGAAAAGGTCGAACCGCCACCGAAAATTACGTTTTTCAAGCGGGACATGTATCGCGGACTCGCTGTGTCCATGAGCCGCTCATGCGTCGTCAACGCCATTTTCTTCTCCTCGTTTGAATTCATCAAGAAACACATCAAGGATAATGGCTGAGCGTAAACTGCGAAACCCCTCTATCGCTTTTCGCAATCTCCCTGCTTCGAGACGACTGTTGCGCTGCAAGGACAAACAAACAATGTACACTACACACCCAAGAAACGACTAAATATTCTACTGATGCATCTACGTCGGCGTTTTTTCGATTGATTTCTGGCATCTTCTTTTCGAGTGTTTTAACATCTTCTGCTGCTCCTTCTGACCGTGGAGGATCTGCCTCGAGCGCCTTTGCTTCTTCTTTCTTGTCAAACCCATTTGGTGCGGCGGATATTTGCGACTATGGAAAAATATGCTATATTGGAGACGAATGCCACGTTTGTTTAGTACAAATGCTAACACAGATGGCACATATTGCAAAATGGTGCATATGCGATTCAGTCTCGGGATTTCGACATGTACAAGAAAAAAATATAAAATGTATCAAACGTTCTGCTTGTATGCTCTAAGCGCCCTGCCCCAAATATCAATAAATGTTTTCCTGTGCCCGTTCCCCATTTCTCCAGCTTAACCACAAATCGTGCTCTTTTCGTAGCCATCACCAGCTTACCGCTGTCCGGCAAGCTCCTTTTCCACCTGCGCCTTGACGTGGTCGCGCACCTTGCGCCAGTCGTTTTCAACAGTCTCTACACGGCGCTCCCTCGTTTCGAGACCCACAAACTCCTGCGGCAGCACCTGCGCCGCGAAATTGAAGCCGGGTTCGCCCGCGAGCGCCTTCTCCACAGCACCCGAGAACTTGGCCGGGTGAGCCGTCGACAGCGAGATGTGCGGGATGCCCGAGGGGGCGCGGGCGACGGAGCGCTGGGTGGCGGCGGCGGCGACGGCCGTGTGAGGGTCGAGCACGTAGCCGAGGCGGCGGTAAAAGCCGGTGATGGTTTCGAGTGTTTCGGCGTCAGTTACGCGCTCCGACTCGAAGTCACGCTGGGCGGCGGCGAGCACATCCTGGTAGACAGGGCCAAAGGAACCGACGTCTTTGAGCTCACGCAACCAGCGGGACACCTCCTGCCCGGCCTGGCGCTCGTTCCAAGCGGCGTCCATGCCGGCGGTGGCGGCAAACTCGTGGGCGAGGAACCACAGCAGGCGCTCAAAGTTACTCGAGACGAGAATGTCCATGGCGGGGCTGAGCGTCTCACGGACGCCCGACGGGTCGGCGCCGACTGCGGGCGCGGTGGCGGCGGTCTCGCCCGACGTCGACGACGACGCGTGCTTTTCGTACTTGCCCGTCTTCCAGAAGCGGTCAAGAATGTCATTTTCGTTCGTTGCGATGACGAGCTTGTCGACGGGCAGCCCCATGCGTTGCGCAAAGTAGCCGGCCAGAATGTCGCCAAAGTTGCCCGTGGGTACAACGAAGCGGACCTTGTCGCCGATTTTGAACTCGGGCGACTGCTTGGCCAGCGAAAAGTAGGCGTGGAAGTAGTAGACAATCTGGGCGAGGATGCGACTCCAGTTGATGGAGTTGACGGCGCCGAGATTGAGGGTGGCATTGGCGTCCTTGTCGGCAAATATGGCCTTGAGAATGTCCTGGCAGTCGTCAAAGGTGCCGCCGACGGAGAGGTTATAGACGTTGGGATCAAGGACCGTCGTCATCTGCGCTTCCTGAACGGGGCTGACGCGGCCCGTCGGGAACATAATGAAGACGGAAACGTCCTTTTTGCCGCGGAGGCCGTAGATGGCGGCGGAGCCTGTATCACCGCTGGTCGCGCCAACGACGGTGAGGTGGTGGCGATCTAATTTGATGAGCCCGTTAGCGTTCTTCTTTGACTACTTTGATCTTCGTTCTCGAGCAGGCGTAATTCGTACCCTTGCCTTCCTTGCCCTCGTTCTTACGCACGAGGAAGTACTCAAACAGGTTGCCGACAAACTGCAGCGCGACATCCTTGAATGCAAACGTCGGCCCGTGAAACAGCTCGAGCAGATAGTGGCTGTTCTCGAGGTGGACGAGCGGCGTGGTGTCGGCGTGGCGAAATGTCGCGTAGCTGCGCTGAATGATGTCACGGAGGTCGGCGGGCGGGATCTCGTCGGGAGAGATGTAGAGCGAGAGCACCTCGTAGGCCAGGTCGGTAAAGGAAAGATCCTTCCAAGACTGCCAATTGGTGGCAGCCGGGATGGCCTCGGGGATGAAGAGACCACCATCGGAGGCGAGGCCCTTGAGGACAGCCTGCTCAAAAGTAAACTGCGCCAAGTTGTTAGTCTATATGATCGGGGTCGTTTATGAAGCTGATATCAGAGAGCAATAAAATGCTCGTCCGCGGTGAGTCCGATGATGGTGCGCGACAAGACGTACTCCAGAGTCCTCGCCACGAGTGCTCAGATACCGATGCGAAGGGTTGCCGGTTGTGGCCTCGGGTTGGGCATCGACCACAGCATTGCCGTTGATCGCCATTGTCTGTTTGGGCGGAGGCCTTAAATGATAGGATGGGGTTTGCAGTTGCCAGGGACAGGTAGTTGGCTCAAGAATCGGGCTTCGGCAATGTTGCTGCTATCCAGAGGCAATCCGATGATTCAAGATGGTTTGGTCGAAAAAATATTTAGTTACCGTAGGTGGGTGGGGGGAACCCGTTATCGGCGACAAGCCTAGTCTAGATTTACGAGTAAATCGCAGCCTGCATCTGCTTTTGTATTTTTGATCTAAGCTTAGCCTTGATGTAGAATGTGATCTCTCAATTCATCACTTTCATGAATTCGTTGCTGCGATGTGATCATTCACCATCATTGCCTTACCTAGCAGCGCGAACATGCCACTTCATGGAGGGGCAGCGACCAGCAGCGGGGCAGAGTCATCGGCTTCCGACACTCGGCCCAAGTCGCCGCCGTCCGGCCAGATGCCATCATGCCAGAGCTAGCGATTCCACCACAGCGCATGCGCTAGTGCTGTTTTTCAAGATTGCGTGCTTGTCCTAAATTAAAAATTGAGAAAAATTAAGGGTCTAATCTGGGGCTCCCGCCAAGTTCTTGAGGCTTTTATCCAACGACGTTGCCCGCCTCGTACACGGACGTTGGGGGGTTGACAAAATGGCTGTGGATGTTCATGCTGTGCGCCGTTACACACGCAACATGCACAAGAGATTGCCAGACCAAATCAATAACTGAGGATTCATTACTTGTTCGTGAATTTCGTGACCATCTACTGGAAGCGATTAGCTATAGCTCTTTAATATGACGCCTCATCTGCCGCCGAATGCTGAACGTCATAAGCAGTGGCTTCCAAGTACAAACTTGTAGAAGCAGTGTTTTGCCAGAGCAATGCGCGAGTCTACCTCACTTGGGTAGGGATTTCAGCAACGGCGCTATCCTTGACCGCTTGCTCAACCCTATTCGATATAGTGGCTTGCTTGCGCTGCCCATTTGTGGTGTTGCTGTTCTCTTGCCAGCTGGTTTCTGTGGGGTCTCTGCGGCAGTTACACCAGGAGCAGGCTTGCAAATCTTTCCATCGTCGACTTTGACGTTGTTGAGCGAAACTGCTTCTTCCACCTTGGAGTCGCTGGTGTCCTCCGTCTCCGTTACAACCCCGGCAATATGTCCATCTGTTGGTTTGGTCGGTGCCTCGTACGCTTCCACCTCAATCACCTCCTGCTTTTTCACTCCGAGCGTTTCGAACTTTTTCGGCCGGCCTCTCTTCTTTGGGACTGTTGCAGGTTTCTGTGACTCTGCTGCCTCCAGTTGCGTGGTCGCAGCCTTTTTCATTTGCTTCACTATCTTTTTCGGCCTTCCTCTCTTCTTTCTGATCGCTTGATCTGGCATAGTGCGAGTCTCAGCCTGGGGTTCGGGGTCGTTAACTGGCTGAGTATCATTCTCTTGATGTCCGTCATCTTCGCTATTGGGCAAAACTACTGTAGGATATCTCTCCTGCGTCTCATCTGGCGTGTTGACTTGAGTAAAACTCGTAAGATCCTCTCCGGACTGAAACTTGCCACGCCGTTGTTTTGCCGCCTTCGACTTGCGAGAGGTCGACTTCTTTGTTTGTGTCTTTTGGCGCTGAGACGTGGCGCTCAATTGCAGAGGGAGCTGATCTGAAGTATCCTGTTGATCCGCCTGATTCTGCAAATCACTAGACGCTGGCTGCTCCACAGCAACATATTGCTCCTTCTGACTGCTCGTCAGCCCGCGAGCATTGATGATGAGGGACGGATCATCGTTCATCGGCACTGTAGGCATCAAACTGCTCGTTATATGGGCGGGTTTGGCTTCGATATTCTCGTCCAAATTGACAGGAGGCATGGTTGGTGGGATGCTGCTGTGGATTGGCAGTGCAGTAGGCGGCATGGAGGAGTCCACGGCATCATTTCTGCGTCGACTCAATCGTTGCCTTTTTTGAGAAGGTGGTGCCATATTTTCCTCCTCATCAACGGCAACACCACCAGTTCCACGATATGCCACAGACGAACCGGTCGCCGTCTTCCGGCCGGCGCGGCGCGCGCCACCACCCCGGTCCTCCTCTGCACTGCTAGGAAACTCATAGGGATCCGCGGTCCTTGTGGTATTTTGCCTCGTCATCTTTTCTCTCATGATAGCCGATTTGACTGCGCGGGAAGCGTAGCCACGGTTCGAGTCCCCAATCACCAATGGCGTGCCGTCTGGGTACTGTGACGGCAGCGACACGGGGTCCGTTTGCTCAGTCCCAGTGGGTGCTGTCATTGGGAGATTCACACTACCAGCTCCGACCCCTCTAAGCTGCTGCGCTCTGGCGGCAGCACTTTGCTGTTCGTAGTAGATGCCTTGAAAGAAAACGGGATCCGTAGACGACGTGGCCAGGCTTACAGGCTCCGACGCGGTGCTGACAAACGAGTGCGGCCCCTCTGCTTGGGCCGCAGGTGGTGGCGAAAAGGCATCACGCTCCGATTCATCATCGGAGTCTGCTATGAAGGCGCGAGCCATGTGTCCAGAGAAGCATATGAGTTGCGTGCAATTTTTGTTGCTGTTGCTTCACTGGAAGGGCGCCTTCACGGTACAGTGTAGCAGACGTGGCCGTGGCCTCACCAACGCGAATCCACGTGACTCATTGGTAAAGATGTGAGAGGTGATGAAGCCAAAGAGCGAGAGAGATTTTATTATTGCCAGCTGGCTTGTCAAATTTATGCGAGCGTTTCGATTATATCCAAGCTTCAGATTTGTTTTGAACCAAACGAAATCTTCTCCTTGGCAGCTTTGTGTTAGCGTGTTCCAGCAACAGCTACAGCACTGGTCGTGGCGTTGTCTGGTAGCTACAGCACCCACCATGGTGGGGTTGCGTGGCCGATGTAGGCTTTTTTCATTTTGCCTTTGTTCTGCTCCCCCCCTCCGCCTTCAGCCATGCGTATTTAAGCCCGCCCCCGCAGTTACCCCTCGCCGGAAATTTCTCCTCCCTCCCATCCTGTTCTTTCTCTTCTGTCAATTCTTGTCTTTGTGCTTCTGAGGGATCTTATACTTTATCCTTCGTCTATCGAGACAGCAGAGGACTGTTACATTGTACGTACCAAGCAGTGCCACCTTCTAACGGGCCCGTTGTTCCGCCTTCGCCGGACCTCCACCCGTTCGTTTGCTTACTGTGCGACAAAGGCGCTAACAAATTGACTGCACCTCAGACATTATATCAAAAACACTGTTGAGAATTCACCGAATAAGCCTCAAAATGGTTCAGTCCGCTGTTCTCGGTTTTCCCCGCATGGGCGTCAACCGCGACCTGAAGAAGGCCACCGAAGCTTGTTAGTCCGCCCAACCCACTGCCCCGCGCTTATGACACTTGACATTGAAGCAGCGTGGTTGCTAACAGCTGAAATTCAGACTGGGGTGGTAAGATCTCACAATCCGACCTCCTTGCTGAGGCCAAGCGCCTCCGTCTTGCCCACTGGAAGATTCAGAAGGATGCCGGCGTGACCTCTGTACCCAGCAACGACTTTGCCCTGTACGACCAGGTTCTCCACCAGATCCAGGACTTTGGTGCTGTCCCTGAGCGCTATACCAAGGATGGCCTTGACACCATCGACCAGTACTTCGCCATGGGCCGTGGCCACCAGAAGGGCGGTGTCGACGTCCCCTCTCTGGAGATGGTGAAGTGGTTCGACTCCAACTACCACTACGTCAAGCCTACCCTCCAGGACAACCAGAGCTTCAAGCTTGTTGACAACCCCAAGGCCGTTGTCGAGTTCAAGGAGGCCAAGGAGGCTGGCATTGAGACCCGCCCCGTCCTCGTCGGCCCTGTGACCTTCCTGCACCTCGGTAAGGCTGACCGTGGCCAGTCGGTCGAGCCCATTGACCTTCTTGACAAGCTGCTGCCCGTCTACGTGGAGTACCTGACCAAGCTCAAGGAGGCTGGTGCCGAGACTGTCCAGATCGACGAGCCTGTCCTCGTCTTTGATCTTCCCGCTAAGACCAAGGCTGCCTTCAAGCCCACCTACGAGAAGTTCGCCAGCCTCGGCGACAAGATCCCCAAGCTCGTCTTCACTACTTACTTCGGCGACATTGTCCACAACCTCGACCTTGTCCCCAAGGACATCTACGCTGTCCATGTTGACCTCGTCCGCAACCCCGAGCAGCTCGACACCGTTATCGGTGCTCTTGGCCCCAAGACCATCCTCTCCGCTGGTGTTGTCGACGGCCGCAACATCTGGAAGACCAACCTTAAGCGCGCCATTGAGACTGTTGAGTCTGCCATTCAGAAGCTTGGCAAGGACCGTGTCATTGCTGCTACCTCGTCTTCCCTCCTCCACACTCCCCACACCCTTGCCTCTGAGAAGAAGCTCGATCCTGAGGTTGCTGACTGGTTCTCGTTTGCCTCCGAAAAGGCTGTCGAGATCGCCCTGATTGCCAAGGCTGTCACGGAGGGCCCCGCCTCCGTCAAGGAGCAGCTCGAGGCCAACGCCAAGTCTATGCAGGCTCGTGCCTCTTCTGCCCGCACCAACAACCCCCAGGTCAAGGAGCGCCAGTCCAAGATCACTCCCCAGGACTACAGCCGCAAGGCTGAGTTCCCCGTCCGTATCAGCGAGCAGGAGAAGAAGCTCAACCTTCCTCTCTTCCCCACCACTACCATTGGTTCTTTCCCCCAGACCAAGGAGATTCGCCAGCAGCGTCAGCGTTTCACCAAGGGCGAGATCACCGAGGCCGAGTATGACAAGTTCATCGAGAAGGAGATTGATGACAACGTCCGCATCCAGAAGGAGCTTGGCCTGGACGTCTACGTTCACGGCGAGCCTGAGCGCAACGATATGGTTCAGTACTTCGGTGAGCGCCTTGACGGCTATGCTTTCACCACCCACGCCTGGGTCCAGTCGTACGGCTCTCGTTGCGTACGTCCCCCCATCATTGTCGGTGACATCTCTCGCCCTGCTCCTATGACTGTAAAGGAGTCCAAGTACGCCGTCTCCGTCTCTGATAAGCCCATGAAGGGTATGCTTACTGGCCCCGTCACTTGCCTGAGATGGTCTTTCCCCCGTGATGATGTCCACCAGTCCGTCCAGGCTGAGCAGCTTGCTCTCGCCCTCCGTGACGAGGTTGTCGATCTCGAGAAGGCCGGCGTCGATGTCATTCAGGTCGACGAGCCCGCTCTCCGTGAGGGTCTCCCTCTTCGCTCTGGCAAGGAGCGTGACGCCTACCTCGCCTGGGCCGTCAACGCTTTCAAGCTCTCTACTGCTGGTGTCGAGAACGCCACCCAGATCCACTCTCACTTCTGCTACTCGGAGTTCCAGGACTTCTTCCACGCCATCGCTGCTCTCGATGCCGATGTCCTCTCCATCGAGAACAGCAAGTCTGACGCCAAGCTCCTCCGTGTCTTTGTCGACTCTGCCTACCCCCGCCACATTGGTCCCGGTGTCTATGACATCCACTCTCCCCGTGTTCCCAGCGAGCAGGAGATCAAGGACCGCATCCAGGAGATGCTCCAGTTCCTCAAGCCTGACCAGCTCTGGATCGATCCCGACTGCGGTCTCAAGACCCGCCAGTGGAAGGAGACCAAGGAGGCTCTGGCTAACATGGTCAGCGCCGCCAAGGCCTTCCGTGCCCAGTACACCAAATAAGCAGCTACAACATGCTAGCTTGGGTTGGAGTACGGGTGTGGTGACGTGAGAGTGCGTCTCAAGGGACAGGCATTCGAAAAGCGTTGTATTCTCTTTGTTTTGCTTTGAAGGCTGCGTGAAAATGATGCAGGCTACGATTTCAACATCGGCGTTTTGGGCTGTTGGTGACGGATGCGCTTGCTAGTGCATCCCAACAAAAGGTTATTCAACCCACGGGTTTTAGGGTTTGCATTGGCGAGGCGCACATTCAACATAGATACATAGTTCCCGATTTGGGACGAGATGACCCAGCTGGGATCTCAATTCATAATAATATACATGGCACACTATACAGGTGCCCGAACTCTGTTTGCCGATGCTTTTCTGTGATGCGAACTTGATTGTTGAAGTGGCACTAGAAAACAAGTGCGCTGCGCCAAATCTGCTCCGTCATTGCATCAGTCACACTATATGACGAACCTTGGCAGCATAGTTGCGGAGGTACGAGAGAGGTGGTCTCAGGGAGACTGAGAACGCTAGGGTTGATGAATCGAAGTGTCGATAATCTCAGTCAGAGGTCTAACTATCTAAAGACGAGGCTTCGACATAAACTTGGGCAAGCGTCTTCTACTGTAGTTATCGGTCGTTCGATCGGTTCATACGTCGCTCGGTCGCTGGTATCGGACTTTCAGCAAATACGAGGAGCAGAGGAGCAAGATGCACAAGTTCAAGCCCCAGTGCCGCCATCGGCAAATGTCCCAACATTTCTGTCCGTGTTCTGCGCAGATTATTTAGCGCTCATGTAGCATGTCGATCTGGTCGAATACATACATTGTTTCGCAGTGTACTCTGTAATAAAACAGAAATCTGGCTTCTGGTGTCATGGAAGGCGTCCTCTGCGGTGCATCCACCCACAGTTGACACTGGCTTTTTCGAGCAACCGTCGCTCGCTTACTAAAACGGAGGCATCTTTGCGCTTGTGAGTTCTTACCCCGTGGTTGGTTGAATCTTCTGCGAGGGGGGAGATCCGATATTGCGTCAAAGGTTTCGAAGCTGACGACGAATGTGGTTGTGAAAATCGATCGTTGCAGAAACAGAAATCGTGCTTACTTGTTTGAGTTGCGGCGAGGAAGAAAATAGTGGCTGGGTTCTGTAGTTTGGCGGTCTACTGCGTCGATCGATATCCGAGAGTCTCATGTTCCTTTGTGCAAAAACGCATAAGAGAATGCATAACCCGATTTTGAGGCAAAGCATTTCTAAAAGCCTTTGATATAGACACCCCAAAAACTGATTCTTCTGCAAAGCTGCCTGCCGTCCACAACGGAAACTTGCGCAATTATCATAGGCCGTGTAGTATCCGCTCAAATTTCGAGTTCGTCGCTAAGCAACGGGATATACTTCCGCAGTCTGGATGCGAACGGGTGATCATCTGAAGCAATACTGACCAATATATTTACCGTGGGCTGGTTCTATAGTCCCCTCTGCTTCTCGGCCTTATTTTGAACACAATATTCGTATCAATTTCTTCGTGGCCCTTTTTATTTCTCTGCCGATCGGTGATGCTTTGCCATTCATGACCGTAGCCCCGGACGACGTAGAAAGAGAGCGAGGCAAACTGGAGCGTCTCGACGGGCGTTCATCGCGCAGACCCATGCTTGGGGGCCGATTATGATGATGTGATAACTTAGTAACTGACTAGTGCTCGATATGCCTTTTGTCTATAAAATTGCCATGGGTATCAATCGCGGGCCGCTTCAGTAGCGCCGAGCACTTGCCATGGGAAGGGGGGGCCTTGTGCTACCTGAGCTCAACATCGCAGTTGCTGACCATCTTTTCCGGCAAACCAATATTTGCGAGTTTCACATTATCCCCTGCTCATCAATTGCGCCATTCACTTTCTCTTGGGCC